TTTTCTGTCAATATGGGGTGCTGTGTGTACATTAATGAGGAAAAAAAAATAACTTAAATGATTTTAGCAAATGGCTGCAATATAACAAAGAGTGAAAAATAAATATATACACGAATACTTTCCGTACCCACTGTATATATATATATATATATTATATAGGCTATATATATTATAGACTATATATATTAGGATATATCCCCCCCCCAAAAAACAAGTTGACACCTCTGATATAAAGAGAAAAATACTAATAATAAGAAATAGCTGTAGAAGTAAGTGTAAAAATCAATAATGTTGAAGAACACTCTAAGCTGACCTTGACACATTCCAGTTGTCTCGTATCTTGGTGTGGCAGAGCATGTTGGGCATACGTTGAGGAACCAGAACTTTGATCTGATCCACAGAGCTGCTGAGCTTCAGGTAACCCAGATAAAGTCCAGAGGACAGCCGATGCTGACTTCGTCGCTGATAGGCCAGAATGTCCTACAATTAAAATAAGAGTTTAAATTACAATCTTTTTTTTCTTTGAATGGTGGATTATTTACTTAATACCACCCTACATCTTATTCCATTCCTTGTAAATTCTATTATATTCCATCTATTTACCACAACCACAACTGTAAATACAATTTTTTTCTATTTATGTTCATATATATATATATATATATATACACAGACACATATGTGTGTATTTTATTCACATATCTTTATTTCTTATTATCTGTGTGTTGTTGTCGTTGTTGTCTCTGTGTACTGGAAGCTTCTGTCGCCAGAACAAATTCCTTGTATGTGCAAACATACTTGACAATAAAGCTCTTTCTGATTCTGATTATTTGAGGTATCATTAATGTCTGTAGACTAAACAGTGCAAGAGTTGACGTTTGAGTCAGGACAGAGCTGTATTTACCTGCATGGTTATGAGGAGGATGTCCAGGGCATATGGTTCCTCAGGAGTGGAAAGAGACTTCCTCTGACTCTGCAGTTTGGATACCTGCATCCACTTCCCATTGAAAAAGGAATAAAGGCTATCCATCTCCCTCACTGTCACAAGCAGGACATTCCCATGACGGTCTTTAATAGGCTCATAATGGACTCGGCCCAAATTGTGAGTGCCCAGAAGATTCTGTTTGGAGAAAGACAGAGAAATAGAGAAAAATGTAACCCTCTGATGCTGTGCATGGTGTCCACTACAAAATAATTGTTATTATTTATTTTTTTATTTATTTTGGGTGTGACATTGAAACCACCATGGAACCGATAATAATATATAATATATTAAAGACCGTCCTCTTTATCATATCATTGTGCTTTTGATTTATGACAATAGAAATACAAAATACCTGACAAAAAGGACAAAGCACCAAGTATTTATCTCAAAGTGTAATTCTCTCAACATTTTGAAAAATTTATTATTTAATAATAAAATACATAAATGAATAAAATAATTGTTATATTGTATATGTATTGCATTGAAAAAGAAATATTTTAAATATTTTAATTTAACTTCCAGGGAGAAAAAAAAACATTATTGTACTAAAAAAAATGTTAAGTAGAGCGTGTTGGCTAAAATAATTGTTATGCATTATAAAATATGCTCAAACACAAACACAGACACACACTCTGCTCAGAGTCCCACATAAGAGATTATCCCACTCAATTTCAATTTGTACTGAGATCAAATTCCATTATAGTGATAAATTGTTAGCAAGGCTCATCACGGGCTGGCAAACCTGCAGTTGGCCCGCGGCCGCCAGCATCTTCTGTCTGGACTGCAGAGTGGAAGAGGAAGAGGTGGAGACTGCCAGGCTCTGTCTCAGCCACCGGACGTCTTCCCACATACAGGACAGCTGCAAAATAAACACACACATACACTTGTGAAGTTGGAGAAAGCTATTTACCTTATTCCTCGACATCATTCAATGCCAGAGTGCTTTATCTTCAGTGAGGCGATATCTCTGCTATAAGGTGCTTTAGACGGAAAAGTCCATCATTTTTAAAGAAGAAACCATCTGTGTGCCTGCCTGTTTATGTGACTGTTTAACCTTCAAACTATTTTAAACTTGGAGACAAGGTTCATCAAGTCAACATCAAAATTTGCCTTGACGAACTTTTGTTTTTTAGTTGCATATTAGGAGACAAGTTGTAAAATAAACATTTGGATGTGGACATGAGTGCTTAAAATGCTGCAAGGTTCGTTCCATGAATATAACTTTACCTCCAATCTCACCATAAAATCTAGAAGTATTTGGCTATCAAACAAAGAGCGATATTCTGCTAAGACTCTCTCTGCTTCTTGCATCACACCACTTTAGCCTTGTAATGATGGGCTAATTTCAAATGCGCGGCCTAACGTCAAAAGTGTGGTGACTGTTCACTTTGACAGAATATATTTAGGACGCTAAGCTGACCGCAGGCTGCATTTGGAAGAAACCAACAAAAATATTGACGCTTGTCAAAGAAATGTGTAATGAAAACACAGAAAATTTATGTTTCAGTTCAGTGTTAACAAAACGCATGTTACTTTAGTGCAGTTTCTCTCCTGACCTCTCCGCTGCTTAATGTCGCGGTTGACTGTATGTTTTTACATACCTTGGTGAACCACAGAAAGTCCTGCATGAGGGAGCTGCTGTATGAGTCGTCCACCTCCACTATGGGGATCTGATCCTCATTAGTCACTAGCAGACTGTCCTTATGGTAAAATACAGATGCTATATAAACTCCCCTGAAAAAGAAAAAACAGCCAAGAGATCCTATTCAGAACCAGGCGAATTCAGCCTATTCAGCTATAATGTTAATTCTATAATGCTTGGCACTTTCCAAGAATAGAGTACAAAATAGGGCCTGAAACTCCTAAAAAGGAGTTTTTTTTTTATTTCGGCACATATTTAGTGATATAAGTTTTTTAAAGTTAAGATAATGTTGACCGTTAACCTCACAGCAAGCAAACAAAATATTACATTTTTATTTTAGATATATTCATTAGCAGAGACAGCAAAGCAACTTAAAAATGAGCAGTACAACAAAGCAATATTATAGTACAATGTATACAGGTTTTATTTTCTATTCATTGTAAAAATGTTTGCAGTTTTTGCAACTCTTGCCATTTCTAAATGTTGTTAAAAACCCTAGACAGCAATTTAGTCATTTTCTAGCAATAAATATCACATAAACATTCAAATTAAATAGACAAAAAAAAATTTTGTCATTTTTTTTTTTTTACTGTTCATGTAATATCACAGTTAATTATAAATAAAGGCATTATAAATATAGTTAGTTAATTAATAATTAATTCAAAAGATTCTTTAAAAATTATGACATAGTTGTTTGATTTTGATTGCTGGATTCAGTTGAAAAGGTCAAGACCACCTGAGGTAGAAAAGGTCAAATTCTGCTCAATGCTCAAAAATGCTCAAAACTATTTTCATGCACATATCTAATAGCACAACAATCCAGCAATAACCATTTTTGCCTCTAATGCTGCAATAAATGCTACTGTGACACTAATATGTAATCTTTTTGTGGGAAAGTGCCACCTATTTTGTGTAATATGCTCATACCACCTTTTGAGACTCTTGACAAATTTAGTAGATGAGTGAAAAAGGTGTTTCAGGCTCCGGGACACTGACTGTTTACGACTTGGATTCTGCAACTTTGATGTGTCTGGGGAAAAAAAGGAGTCAAGATGAACAGACAGGTAAAAACAACTAAATATATAGACTTGGTAGATTCCTATGGGAGACTGAAAATAGTGTGAGAGACCTACAATGGAAAAACTGTGTGAAAAATCATCCTATATATCTGCAAGGTACTCTACTGAAAACGATGGGTTCTTAGATTCATTCTGACTTCCTTAAAATTGACTAGTTGTTTAGAAAACCAAGTGATTTATTGAGTATGAACTAGTTTTGGTCATCCTCTTAAGATTAACATTTCCGAATTGCTTGAAAACTGTTGTCATCAAGACAAAAAAATCATTGTAAAGAGCAAAACAGACCAAACAACATGCTGAATGAAGGAATAAACGTAGAGCACTTTGAAGACAGACAGGGTGAAAGAGCCTCAGGGGCATGAGTGAGGGTTCGGGGGAGTCAGGCCACCGACAAACCGGTTATCTGGAACATTTCAGCTGCGTATCTCCCGCTTCAAGCGCAGCCATATCAGCCCACATTTCAGCGATGCCAATCTTCAGACGTCCCTGTTTTTGTGAAATTAAGCGTCACGTAATTGCCCCCCGTGTAAACAGCAGGGCAGACGGAACAATCCATTTGGCTGAGAAGCTGTTTACAATGTGAAAGTGGCCATCAGAGCGAGCGAGTCACTGTGAGAGCAATCACGCTAACCCTAGTCTCCGTGTCTCCACCGGAGGGGCTTGAAAGGGAGGTAGGAAGGCAGATTTTCTGTTTGAAAATCACTATCAAACTCCTCAAGGAATAATGTGTCTTACAAGTCCCTTAAGAAGATTAAACCTCGGCCCCTTTGACCCTACAGTGGCGACTGTTAACAGTACGTGATTAAATGCACACACTGATTGTTTCCTGCTTGGCTAGATATTGAAATAACGTAACCTCAAAACCGCAACACAGAATCTTACTGGAATCTCAAGACAATTACGTCCCTATTGAAAAAAAAGTCAACTTTGATTACATACGCTGGAATATCACAACCAGACTTTAAGGTTTGGATATCAACCGCTATTTTTGTATCACAACAAGTAGGAGTGAGAACATAATTATCCACTTTGGGAACACATTAAATCCGTTTTAACATATTTATGTGAAGATCAGCGGTAGTTTCCAGTCTCCGCAAACAGAGCCACTGCACGTGTTGATAAGTTGAGTGCAGAATTCGTATTTATTTCTCCCTCAGAAGGTTAACTGGCTTTGACAAGCAGATTATAAGACATGAGTGCATTGGCCTCCTGTGCCGCCAAACTGTCACACTAAATAAATAAAGAAATGCCTTTTCATTTATGAAAGCAAAAAGAAGAAAAAAACAGATCGCCTTTGATTAATGACTTGGCAATTCATCTGTCTACCGCACAGTGAGTGCAACCATAAAATGAGGTGAGTGAGAGTCGGAGAGACGGCGAGCGCTGGTCGCATTCTTCATTCTAACTAATTTAGCGGGGGTCAACGGACCCTTTTCAACATACGAGAGCGAGCGAGATCCTCCATAACGATCGTGGCCAGACTTTCCAGGCCCTCGTTGACAGAAAGCGCTTACATAGCAGCGGCGGAGAGCGGAGGTGTGCGTGTGAGCGATCGCGCTGTGCGTGTGGGTGTTGCTGTGTCTCATGCAGGAACACTGGGAGCTGTGTGCACGACGCACACGCACACGCACGCACACACACACACACACACACACACACACACACACATCAGCTTGAGAGCAACCTCTCAGCTCCACATATACACATCATAAATTAAGATAACCTCTGCTTAAGCGAGCTGTATTTTTTTCAGAGTGGTTTTTATAGTGGTGTCATTGTACTGATGCTGATTAATTTTGCAGATTTATTTTCGAACACCGTCGCTCCAAAAATAACTTGGGTAAATACATTGCCCCTGCCAGCATGTGTGCTTATGGGGGACATATAATGCACACATATTGCAAATAAATTTCATAATCATTATTTTTTATCTTGTTTTCTAGCAAATATCTCTATAAGTCCTTATAACTAGATTAATATCTTAAGAAATGTATTCTTGCTTGCTTATTCTCTAATTATTTGCATTTCACTTTAGCCCCAGAATGTGTACTATGTCTTTGACAGTGTGGTAAGAAACATAAACAAGATATTGTACAATTTTTTTTCTAAGGATTTTTATTTTTTATTGGAATATTTTAACTGGAATTTTTACTATTCAATATATATTCTCTGAAAACAAGTCGTATTATCTAACGCCCACACCAAAAACTCATAAGACCTAAATCCCACTCTGCACATATTTACATATGAAACATATGAGCCTAGAAGAGATTAATTGTGAAATTTGTGAAACACTGTGGATACTGTATGACAAATCCCAAAACACACTCACAAGAAAACACAATATATATATGTACTGTACTGTATATATATATATATATATATATTGTTTTGAGGATAATTTTTTTCAAATATTTTTTATCAGTTTTTACCATCCTGAATATATTCTATTACTAGCTAACACAATTTATTAAAAAAGAAGTACATTTATGTGAGTTTTAAAGATGTTTATATTTTCTTATTATCATAAACTATTTTTTTTTTTTTTTTTACAAATTTTGTAAAACAATTTTTGGTTTTTAAGATGTTTCGACATTTTTACTGAAAAACAAGACAGACTGATGAAGAAAATGCATTTTGCAATGTACATGCACACATTGTCTCTAAATTAAAATGGACAAAGTCAGATGTGTTATTTTTGCATAGTTTCTACTGTTTTTGCTTTCCACATTAATAAAAACTCTCATACAGTGTTTTTCTTGTAGAATCAATTCAATAAATTCATTTGCGACGCTGGCAGCCATCTCTCTGACATCATTAGTGCTGACTTCTAAACAGATGAGTGATGCTGTTTTTTTGCTCACCCCCCCTCCTGCTTGTGGCCGGCTGCATAGCTGCCTAATGAAGTTGCTGTTTGTGAGCAGTGCAGTACTGTCAGCACCAGGAACAGCGTTCTTCTATACCTCGGCGTCTGGCCTCTGGGTTAGAGAGTGGGCCTGAGGCCAAAGCAGACTGTCTACGATTCACGCTACGTCCAGCCTGCTTCGTTTTAAAGGTGTTTGTGCTCGAGCCCTGTGATTTACAGTGCTGCACTATACGGACGACATGTTTGACACATAGATGTTAAAATCTAAAATGGATAAATGTATTAAAACATTATTTATTTACATGTCCTCCTCCCCGGCCTCGCTACTCGCATGAAGAGCGTAGGAGGGCAGGCAGCAGGAATGCTGAGAGAGTGTATTCATACTGCTCTGGATGGCCATACTTGAGTCAAAACACTTTGACCATGCTTCATTTCGTCACTTTAATACAGAGTTAATCTACTGGAAGAAGTGTGGACTTAGAAGACGAGAGGATGTTGGGAGGGAGAGATTTCTGGTGAGTGGGCAGATGGGTGGAAGTGAGAGAGAAATGGGCAGAGAGAGAGAGAGACTATGAGAAAGAGTGAGAGCATTATGAGAGACAGACGAGGGAAAGAAAAAACACAATAAAGAAAGCAAATAAAAGAGCACCAGCTGAGCAAAAAACAGAGATTATGAGGATGAAGTCATCTGGGAAATTTTGCAATGGAACTCCTGCTCTGATTCAGAGGATATACAGCCTACTTTTAGATAGGTATATGCATTTTAAAAAAATCAAGCAGTCAGTGCAAACTGTCTAAAATCACGGTAATGAAAGCACTGCTCTTATATATCTTATATATTTTTATTGGAATATTTTAACTGGAATAAAACCGTGTATCAAACTGTCTGAAATCATATGAATGAAATGACTGCAGCAACAAACTAAAATTAATTAGAATTTTTAAGTTAAATATTATAATTTATTAGAAAATTATAAAAAATGTATAAAAAATAAAATGAATATAAAATATTCATTCCATTGTGAAATTCACCAGATATATATAATAGATTTAAATATATAATAAGTATAAATGAAAAAAGAAAAAATATATATAATAGATTTAAATATATAAGTATAAATGAAAAAAGAAAAAAAGAAGCAATAAGACCAAACAAGAAACATCACACAACTCTTCAAAAAAGAAGCATCACACAACTCTAATCAACATTTTAATTTTGACATTTTGGAGATGAAGTCTACTACAGACTTGACCTCTGTATTAACTATTAATTAATACTGGTTCGTGACTGGACAGTATAGAATCCCTTAATCACTTAGAATTAATCTGGTCTAAAATTTGTCCCCGCACCACTGATCACAATGCAGCTGGTATGAGATTCCCAATGTTTTGAACCATTTACAGTGTAATAGGTTTTCAGGCTAACATGGGATAGCAAAGATATTACAAAAACTTTCAAACATGATTGAATACGCCTACGCTACTGTGGCGATTTATTATGCTCTGAAGGCAGGTAGGAGGACCAGTTTGATATCAGGGACCATAAATATGGGGATGTTGACCATTCTGAGTATAATTGTTCAATCAATCCAAGCTCATAAACCTGAAATGTTTGAAACACACTAATGCTCAAAAGTTTGGAGTATGTAAGATTTTTTATGTTTTTGAAATCTGTAAAATAGTCATTTTTTGTAATATTATTAAAATTTAAATAACTGTTTTCTGTTTTAATATATTTTGAATTGTAATTCATCCCTGTGATGGCAAAGCTGAATTTTCAGTAGTCATTACTCCATTCTTCAGTGTCAAATGGTCCTTCAGAAATCATTCTGATATGCTGAACTGGTGCTAAAGAAACATTTATAAAAAATGTTTTATCAATGTTCAAAACAGTTGTGCTGCTAAATATTTTTTGTGGAAACCATGACATTTTCTAATTAGGATTCTTTGATGAATAGAAAGTTTGAAAGAACAGCATTTATTTGAAATAAAAATAGTTTGAATCAAATTAAATGTCTTGACTATTTAATGCATATTTTCTGAATAAAAGGATTCATTTAAAAAAACAAAAACAAAAAAAAAACATTAAAAAACATTCTGAACACTACATTTAGATCTCTTACATGTATCTTACACAGGCATCATATATAAGATAATGTAAATCCACTAAAGTATCTCACAGGAGACATCACATGTGCTCCAGAGTCTTGCAACATCACATCACTGCTCATTTCTCAATCTCCTTTTCCTGTACAATTATATAAATGAAATTGCCAGAAAGCTAAAAAAGGAGCATTTGTGCATGTTTGTGTGAATGAGAGATAGTGTTCTTACTCTTAGATGTTTGTGTATTTATGTGAATCACTAGGAGTGATCTGTATGTGTGTGTGTGTGTGTGTGTGTGTATGTGTACCTCCACAGCAGTAGTGCTGGTGTGTGGCTCGAACCTGCTGTAACAGCCTCTCCATAGCCTCAATGTGACCTCTCCTCTTGATCTCTCTCCCATCGCAGTCCTTCCAGTCTAACAGAGAGAAATATCACACAAAACTCAGCTTTAGATTTGTGACATGTTCTAGATGTCAAAAAAGACATTTAATTTGATTCAGTCAGACTTGCACAAAAAAGAGCAAAAGCTTGTCTAATAGTCTTAAAATACCCCAAAATAATCCAAAAGTATTGTGAAACATTGTTGTTGGGGCACTTACTGAATAGCAACACGTTATCAAGAGAGGGTCAATTGAATGCAATGTATTATAATGAGTAAAAAAAAAGAAAGAAAAAAAATGTAGCTGTTCCAAATAGGAAGGACAGCCTTATGGTATATTCTCTTTCAAATTTATTTTATTAAATCTTCATTTCACCCAGACAATTTTCTGTGTCTGTATTGCATACATGCAGTTTTATAATGCTGGATTTGTTACTGACGCAAAACTTGTCAGTTAGTTTTTTATTTGCAGTGCTTATTTGAAAGCTGAAACTCAAGGCCAGATCCAAAGAGTATCAAAGGTGGCAGGGTGAGTAGAAGCCGTGATGGTTAAATAATAGCGCAGTCCTACATCCAAGGATGTTGGCTACAATCAATACAATTTTCTTTCCTTTTAACTGACATGATATTTGAATTAGAAGCACAAAACTATGCTCAAAGGTTCGAGAACTTTCCAGTCGAGAACTTTCCAGTCAATGGTGTTTGAAGCTGTAGTATGCTTCTTTTTAAATGATCCTTTATTGTGGTACTTGGCAACTGTGGCTGCTTTGCAGAACTTACTGGAGGGAACAGCAGAGGGAGGCTGAGAGAGTTGTGCCGGACCCCAGCCTTTCATATTGTAGGCGGACACTTGAACGTAGTAGTGTCTACCCTGTAACAAACAAGAAAAATATCTTAGAAATCTTTTACTAATAACAAGCTGTACTATAGTGGATTTCTGTGGACATAAAGTAACACATAAATGGCAGCAGACAACTTTATACTATAAAATGGCACAGAAAAGTGCATTAGTTTGCAAATTGAGATTCTACAATCCACAATTGTAAGTCAAGGCTCTAATCTCTTTCATAAGTAGTTTTAGCAATATACAAGTTCATTTTATAAACCCTTTTGCATGACTAAATTTATTTAATGTATTTAAACATACATGTATTTACAGTGTACATACTTTATAGTTTTTTATTATTATTCACATTTACCTAAAAGAATGTATGTGAGGCTTATATAAAAAAATAAAATATATAATTCCTCATTTATTCTTAATACCATTTATTTTTAAAGTTAATAGTGTATTATTTACTAAAATTGTATTTATTAATTATTAAAAATTTTAGAGAAGTTTTTTGTTCTGTACAATGAATGAACAGACAATAATCTTTGTGTTTGTGACAGCAAGTGCACAAGAGACGAGATGTTGTGATATTCTGAGAAAACATTGTGACTCGAAGTATCTATCTCTGGTTCACAGTAAAGGCTACATGGTAATTTTAGCTCACCGTGGTAAGACCTGTTATTGTGTATTTCAGGGACTGCAGATTCTCAAGGATCAGCTCTCCGGCTAATAAAGAGAAGTCCTTTAGACAGCTCCATTCCACTGCAATAAACATCATCACACATTATACAGAGTTAAAAGCTGAGAACATCAATAAATGAGTGAAGTCTAAAGAAACCAAATAGGACAGAATGAAACAGGACCATGATAACGACAACTGCAGAAATTACAGCTACAACAACATTATAGTTTGAATAACTAGATATTTATATTAGAAAATGTGAGTGGTTTTTGTCCATGCAAAACTCTGCACCATTTTGCTAGGCTGTTGTGGGTGGTTGCTAAGATGCTCTAGATTGTTGCTAAGGGGGTTTACGGTGGCTGTTCACTGATACATATCTCCAACTCTCTATAATATTCAGATGCCCAGATATGACTTGGGACCTTCCTTTAATTTAAGTCCATGGGTTTGTTCACCTGTTTATCGTCTGTTGAAAATAAGTGTAAGTGCTAATAAGAGTAATAAAACACCTCTTCTCCACTACTTTCATACAATTTGTTAGTTAAGTAATGTAGAATGTTAGTGGGAAAGTTGTCATTTTTCTGTATTTCACGTTGTTTCTTTAGAAACAGTGGGTATAGAAAAGAATCATCCCCCTTTACAATAATCACATTTTGTTGCTTTGCAGCCTGAAATGAAGACGGACACAGTTTTTGTTTTACCCAGCTGTATTTACTCAGTGCAAATTATTACATCCAAGTGAAAGATATAACACCAAATTGTCTGCAAAAAAAAATAAATAATAATAATTAACTGATTCAGAGTTGCTGTAGGCCTCTTGGTCGCCACTCTGACCAGTTTACTCCTGGCTCTTTCATCTAGTTTGGAGCGACGTCCTGATCCAGGGAGGGTCTGTGTTGTACCAAATAGCTTCCACTGCTTAATAATAGACTTCACTGTGCTTCTAGGCATTGATAAAGCCATGACATTTTTTTGTATCCATCTCCTGACTTGTGCCTGTCCACAACTTTATCCCGGAGATCTTTTGACAGTGCAAACTGTGTCCGTCTTCATTTCAGGCTGCAAAGCAACAAAATGTGATTATTGTAAAGGGGGGTGATTCTTTTCTATACCCACTGTAATAACACAATTTAATAATAATAAAAAAAAAACTTCTCAAGGCAATCAGGTATATGTGTGTGTAATACAGACAAATGGCTGCACTGACCTTTGTATTTAGTCACTACGGCCGAGTTCATGCTGGCAGGTTCCTGAAAGCTAACATTGAGAGACGTGCTGCCGGTCACACTCAGACGCACCATCAACGGAGCCTCCGGAGGTCCTGAAAGAGCCAGTTCAACGGTCACATAGCATAACTTGCACATAGCTTGCATTGCTTTTAGGGAGGGGAGAACAATTACTGATGATAATTAAATAACCATAAATACAGGTGATGTGTAATTGTTTGATGGTAATATATTCCAATAAAAGACTTATTATGCAAAGACAACTATAAGTAATCCATTTGCAGGTTGATTGCCCGTAAGTATAAACAATGTACCAACATCAAAACATGTTCTGCTCTGTTTGAGCATCTCAGCCAGCCCAGCTCAGCAACAATAGCTATATTTTTGGGGCGATATCTGTTAGACAAATTAATGGAAGATGGGAGAAGTGTTTGAGTGTCTGCACACAAAAGTGGTTCGACTGACCATTTATTTTCACAATTAATAAAAATAAAGTCTGAAATTGCTTACATCTTTAAACAGACATCTTATTGTCCTTCAGAGGTGGAATGTAAAATCTGTTTATTGCTTTTCTGTTGACCTGCTGTCAGTGCAAATGGAGCCGCTGTCTGCCCCTGTTAGGGTTATGTTTAGTTTTTGTTTTGTTTTCATTGTGTTTTCAGTTTCTGTTCCCCTGTGACCTAGTTTTACTTTGGCTCCTAATTGTCATTTCGTTCACCTGTGTTTGATTAACTCATTCGTTCTTTCGTTTGCTCCCCTACAAGTACTCTCAATTTTCCCTTAGTCGGGGTCCGTTCTCGTTTATGAAATGTTGGTTTACTTGCCTGTCTCCTGGATTTGCTGATTAAAATACCTTTTGTATATCTCCTTCGTCCTCGTGCGTGTGTACCTCACCAACCCGTAACAGAAGAACGGACCCAAAACGATGACTGCAGCTGAGGACGCGCTGTGGGGTTTGCGGCAAGATGGTCGGAGGTTGGAGCGATATGAGGAGGGTTTCCTTGAGTTCTCCAACTGGGTGAGTTGGCACGACGCCGCTCTAGGTGCGTGCTTCCTGCTGGGGTTGGATGACGAAATAATCCGCTGCGATCTCCCAACGGGTGATATTCCTTTGATTGAGCTGATTAATCTCATACTATTCCTAAATAGCTCTGATATGGAAGTTGAGGAAGTAATGAGACTTCCCAAGCCTCGTCATCCAACTCCCGCAGGAATGCGCCGCGTCTCCCCAGCTCACCCCACGCCGAGAACCTCCACATACCACTCCAACGGCTCCTACCGCCTTCCTAACCCCAAATTCCCTGTTGTTCTCCGAAGCGCCGCCGGAGTCTTCAGCCCAGGAGCGCCGGGCTCTCAGCAGTCAAGATGGCCGGCCGCTCGGAAGTCAAGCCCGCCGGACGTTCATGTGGCACTGAGTCCGTTCTCATTTATGTAATGTTGGTTTGCTTGCCTGTCTCCTGGATTTGCTAATTAAAATACCTTTTGTATATCTCCTTCGTCCTCGTGTGTGTGTACCTCACCAACCTGTAACAGCCCCAGGGGAATCCAACAGCAGTGGAAAACACTGCAAAAAGTTATTTTCTGAAGGTGCGGTCACAGTTACCAGTGATCAATGAACTTTTTTGGGGTGAAATCCACTCATTTCAACAGGAATCCATTTTGCGTGAGGGTTAACAATTTTTCAATGCAGATTTCATGTTGGATTCAAGTTGGTCATGCAAATTCGCTATGTTGAACAACACAAAACTGCTTGGTTTGGAAGTGATTTCTGTGTGAGCTGTTCATTATACTGTATGTTGTCACACTATTGACAATAGTGTAATTGACAATACACCATTTACAAAATTTCATCTAAATTTAACGTGACCACACAATTGTTCTATTTTTGTTTATTATTCTCTTGAAAATACATTTACTAGTATTTTTGTCATGTTTTCCAGTACTGATGTCTAAATATTCTTAAATCAAGATGCATTTGCTTTTTGAGTTTTTGCCTTTTTTTTTCTTACCCCACTGACAGATAATTTTTCTTGTTTAAACAATAAACTCATTTTGATAAATGTTTCAGAAAACAAGACCTGATATCTTATGTCATTTTGTTTCTCAAGTAAATGTATGTCTATTTAAGAATGCCTAGATATTTGTACTGGATAATATGACAAGAATACTGAGCAAGAAAATGACTTTTTGCAGAGAATAACTACTTATTTATATAGAGATTACAAAAATTCAGGGTTTATACAAATTCAGCAAACCGTGAATCCACAGTAGCTGTAGTTTGTTTGGCTGAACGCTGTCCTTTTTACGACCATTTACAGTGGGTATAGAAAAGAATCACCCCCCTTTAAAATAATCACATTGTTGCATTGCTTCCTGAAATGAAGACGGACACAGTTTTTGTTTTATCCAGCTGTATTTACTCAGTGCAACTTATAACATCCAAGTGAAAGATATAACACCAACATGTCTGAATATACAAAAAAATAAAAAATAAAAAATAAAAAAACAGAATCACTGAGTTGGAAAAAGGATAACCCCACCCACAAAATGACTTGTAAACTCAATCAGATGTAGCTAATCACCTTCTCAATGGCACACAAAGCCATTTGACTTTCAGCTGTGTCACACAAAGCCATTGACTTTCAACTGTGATCAGCTGTGGTCATTATGATTAGCTCAACATGAAAAGAGCTTTTACTGGAGCATTTGATCCTTGATCTGAAGCAAACAATCAACTATGGGTGGCAAGGCACTGTCAAAAGATCTCCGGGATAAAGTTGTGGAGATGGACACAAATAAATTTCAAAGGCTTTATCAATGCCTAGAAGCACAGTGAAGTCTATTATTAAGAAGTGGAAGCTATTTGGTACAACACAGACCCTACCTGGATCAGGACGTCGCTCCAAAATTGGATGAAAGAGTCAGGAGGAAACTGGTCAGAGAGGCGACCAAGAGGCCTACAGCAACACTTGTCAGGACAGAAGGAAAAGTGGATGGGGCAAAATATAGTCAAATTCTTGAGGAAAATCTGCTGCTCTCTGCCAGAAAGTTGTCAATGGGAAGAAGGTTTACCTTCCAACATGACAATGACCCA